AATAATGTGATATGTTAATCAGATACTCGATGTAACTACATATTTCGCGTTTATATAAACGTAATTAAATAAGAGATTTATGTAATCTATCACTCAAGTATAAATTTGTTTTCGTTATGATTATGGTTATGACGATATGCACAATTGTGTAAGCATTTTGTAATACGATTTAAGGTACAATATTTTTAATTTTATTGTCCTTTAAACGCGGAGGATGTTTGTTAATTTTGAAATATTCTGAAATATTTAAAATTGTTGAATGACGATGATTTTCTCATCCAACTTTAATAATACGTTGGACGAAAAATTGTTAACTCGTTTCATGCGTTAAATTTTTTTAAATTTCTTTCTCATTAATTATTAATAAAATGAATTTGTTGGCAAAATAAATATAGAAGTTGAGTTCTAGCTCGTGAGTCTTCAAACACAGCGACCTCCAAGCAGTGAGACTTGAGAAATCGAGATTACTTGCGATTTTATTTATTTTATTGTCGTTAATATTGTAACATAAGTACTTTCTAAGCTAATGACTGTGCTAAATTCAATCTAAATTTATTTACATATTTATTTTTTATTCACTTTATTTTAGTCCTTCTGACACATGTTTTTTTTTAAATAATCTAATGAAACATTTAGATTTATCAAATAATTGGATAAGAAATTAAATATCCCTTGGGACAATTCCTATCATATTTTCCTATTACGAAACTCATTGTCAATTACGTCTCTGGTGCGGGGGGAAATGGCGTGACAACGACGCGGCAACTTTCAGCTCGTGTCGCTGCCATCTTTCAGTTATTGTTTGCTAACGTATAATATTAGAATTCATTGAATTTTTAGTTTTTATTATTACTATTGAAATTATTCGAAACGCGAAATAAATATTTAAAGTATATTATGTGTGTTTGTACTTTTAATAATTTAAGATACTTTTAAGAATTAAAAGATATTTTTAATAATTTTAGTTTTGTAAATATGTAAATGTGCAGAAAGAAAAAGAACATTTTTATGAAGTAAACAGTGTAAATGTGTAGAAAAAATTAATTAATTAATTAATTCAATAAAGTTACAAATAAAAAAACTTAAAAAGTTTCACTTTAGTCGCGTGTGGGTTACACGCGCTTTTTTTTTATAAACAATATTATTTATATGTTTACATTAGATACATATATTATTATAAGCCAAAAACATGTTGACAGCATAAATAATTTACTTTCAAAAATCATTAAACAACTTTTAGTCTATTTTATTTCATACTTATATTTTATAAGTTATGATTGATGATTATAAAATATAGTATTGTATTATTACTCTTATAAATATTATTTTTTTATTGTTTATAATTTAATATCAGATAGAAATGGTTTATAACAAATTAATTTGCCTTTCCCGCTACAATCCTTCGATAGCTCAGTTGGTAGAGCGGTGGACTGTAGTTGGTTTAATCTTAAAGAGACATCCATAGGTCGCTGGTTCAAATCCGGCTCGAAGGAAGGATTATTTTTTTTTTTTTTCATTTTTTTAAATTCAATTTATAATAATAGTCACTTCTCCATTAATAATAATTATTCTTTTAATTTTGAGAAAATTTTAAACTATATATATATATACACATATATGTTATAGTATTTTATTTTATTCAAATAAAATTGTGTAAAAATTATCTTTATATATATTTATACTATAGATTTTCTTTTGCAATAACACAATGATTATAATTGTTATATGAATAAAACATAAAATGTATAAAATAATGAAAAAAAAAAATTGTTGTGATCGACCGTGACAGGACTCGAACCTGCAATCTTCGGATCCGAAGTCCGACGCCTTATCCATTAGGCCACACGGTCAGTTGAACGATAATACGTCAATCTAATTCAAAACTCACAATTATGATTAAATTTTTTATTTTTTCATATAATATTATCATTATTTGTAATAATAAATTTCTAAAGGTTATGAAATCCAGAAACGCTAATAATTATATTGTAAAGTAAAATTAAATAAATAGCTTTGAAAAATTGTATCTAATCGTATATTATTAACAAATTGCTAGTGGTATTAAAATAAATAATTTTCTCATAAAAAAACATTTAATTAATAAAAAAAATATACATTATTATAAAGAGAAAGACTAAAATTTAGTTATTCATTCTTTATACATGTGAAAAGTATTTAATATTATTTATACTTAACAAATATACAAAAATGCGTGTAGCCATTAAGATACAAAAATCTAATAAAAACTATTTATATTATTGTTAAATTAATTTTAATAATATATTCTTATATATCTGATTATTAATATTTTCATACCATCTCTTTCGCGAGATGATTAATCAAACACAAGAAAACATTGTGGAAATATCTTCGTTAAAATTTTATATAAAAACTTCTATACAATTTTTATATATTAAATGTATTGTATGTTGTGTTGTGTGCACACAATGGTCGACTAGATGGCGCTAGTGTACCTTAATTTCATTCCTTACTTATTGTTAGTGTTATTTAATTAAATAATACGTTTCAATTAATTTAACATTTATATTTTATTTTATTAATTCAATAATCTTACAAATACTGCACTATGAGAATGAATATAAATTCAACAAAATCAAATATGTAAGTAAATGATAAGGAATTATAATTTATTTTGTTTCTTATATGAACAAAAATTCTTAAATACATTATATATATTATTTATTTAAATAAGTATAAATTATTTAAATTATCAAATACACACACACACACATATATTATGTATCTATCCATAGTGTGAAGAGTTTAGCAGTGGATAATATTCTTTCCAAATATTCAACTAAAAATTATATAAATTTATAGAAATATAAAAATTTATTCCAAAACAATATGAAGTTATATGTAATGATGGTAATAATATTTAATTTTTAAACTTATTCTTTAATCTTGCATTTGTATAAAAAATTTTTTATTTTATTTCTTGCAGTATATTTTGTTTAACAAGTAAAGAAATTTGAATTTAACATATACAATTTATTATACAGATTAAAATATATAAATTTAAGAATATATATATATATATATATAT